ATTCCTGTAATAAATATATATCTTCCTTCATTAAATTGTAGTAACACAATAGTTAGAAATAAATATACAATATAGAAGAATAGGAACATTGCGATTGACGTAAACCTGAAAATGTAAATGTAATTTCTTTTTATTACTTAGGCCCACAAGAACAACATATGGATGTTGTGTGCCACCAATCAAGGGTTAAAATTGCATATCTTTTTCAAAGGAATAAAAAACCTTCTGCCCTTCAACTCCTGGATGGTGTTATGAGAGGGGGGCCCACATGTCTTCAGCCTAATGGTGATGGGTATTGGGACTGGTAACTGCATGTGAGCTTGCCAGCTCTCTATCTATGTCCAATTTATTATCTTTTAAAGGGGAGGAGGGGGGGGGATGCTTTCTTATCTGCTATCCACAAATCTGCTTTATCCAGGCTGGACCACAATCCACGCAGTATCTGCTGATGTCTTCACTGATATCTCCTACATCCTTTGAATAGCAAAACACATTCAACTCCGTCTTCTGGCTTATGAATATAGCACGGTATGAGCTGTAGATAGGTGTGTCCGGGTAATTTAGAAAGATTACTGTCTGCCTGTTTTATGGAAAGCATGAATGTATGAGCAGGGAGCTGTCTGCAAAGAATCAGGCTTCTAACAGGTGCTGGAACACAGATGCTGGAAGCACACTGGCATGCACAGCTGTTGGTGGGTGTTTGTAATAACAAATGCGCACAGCATTTATCAACCAGTTTGCACCCAATAAAAATACCTGCTATGGTATGTAGTTGTTATAACAGAAAATATGGAGGCATGCCGTGTGTTTAGTGACACTCCCTAGCTTCTTAATTGTCATAGAAAGCTGCAGGATAACAGTAAAAAACGTATGCTATGGAAATCAATTCTACCAGATCTCACAGTGTGCGTTTTGCACTGTATGTATACAGGATAGATTTGTGCTATGTATGTATATCCATATAGTGGTGCCTTCCAGTATGGACCCTATTCAGATGTGAGAACAGTACATTTCCAGTATGGACCCTATTCAGATTTGAGAACAGCACATTTCCAGTATGGACCCTATTCAGATGTGAGAACAGCACATTTCCAGTATGGACCCTATTCAGATGTGAGAACAGTACATTTCCAGTATGGACCCTATTCAGATTTGAGAACAGCACATTTCCAGTATGGACCCTATTCAGATGTGAGAACAGCACATTTCCAGTATGGACCCTATTCAGATTTGAGAACAGCACATTTCCAGTATGGACCCTATTCAGATGTGAGAACAGCACATTTCCAGTATGGACCCTATTCAGATGTGAGAACAGTACATTTCCAGTATGGACCCTATTCAGTTGTGAGAACAGTACATTTCCAGTATGGACCCTATTCAGATTTGAGAACAGCACATTTCCAGTATGGACCCTATTCAGATTTGAGAACAGCACATTTCCAGTATGGACCCTATTCAGATGTGAGAACAGTACATTTCCAGTATGGACCCTATTCAGATGTGAGAACAGTACATTTCCAGTATGGACCCTATTCAGATTTGAGAACAGCACATTTCCAGTATGGACCCTATTCAGATTTGAGAACAGTACATTTCCAGTATGGACCCTATTCAGATTTGAGAACAGCGCATTTCCAGTATGGACCCTATTCATATTTGAGAACAGTACATTTCCAGTATGGACCCTATTCAGATTCGAGAACAGCGCATTTCCAGTATGGACCCTATTCAGATTTGAGAACAGCGCATTTCCAGTATGGACCCTATTCAGATTTGAGAACAGCGCATTTCTAGTATGGACCCTATTCAGATTCGAGAACAGCGCATTTCCAGTATGGACCCTATTGAGATTCGAGAACAGCGCATTTCCAGTATGGACCCTATTGAGATTCGAGAACAACGCATTTCCAGTATGGACCCTATTGAGATTCGAGAACAGCGCATTTCCAGTATGGACCCTATTGAGATTCGAGAACAGCGCATTTCCAGTATGGACCCTATTGAGATTCGAGAACAGCGCATTTCCAGTATGGACCCTATTGAGATTCGAGAACAGCGCATTTCCAGTATGGACCCTATTGAGATTCGAGAACAGCGCATTTCCAGTATGGTCCCTATTCAGATTCGAGAACAGCGCATTTCCAGTATGGACCCTATTTAGATTCGAGAACAGCGCATTTCCAGTATGGACCCTATTTAGATTCGAGAACAGCGCATTTCCAGTATGGACCCTATTTAGATTTGAGAACAACGCATTTCCAGTATGGACCCTATTTAGATTTGAGAACAGCACATTTCCAGTATGGACCTTTATCAGATTTGAGAACAGCACATTTCCAGTATGGACCCTATTCAGATTTGAGAACAGCACATTTCCAGCATGAACCCTATTCAGATTTGAGAACAGCACATTTTCCAGTATGGACCTTTATCAGATTTCAGAACAGCACATTTCCAGTATGGACCTTTATCAGATTTGAGAACAGCACATTTCCAGTATGGACCCTATTCAGATTCGAGAACAGCACATTTCCAGTATGGACCCTGTTCAGATTTGAGAACAGCACATTTTCCAGTATGGACCTTTATCAGATTTGAGAACAGCACATTTCCAGTATGGACCTTTATCAGATTTGAGAACAGCACATTTCCAGTATGGACCCTATTCAGATTTGAGAACAGCACATTTCCAGTATGGACCCTATTCAGATTTGAGAACAGTACAGAATTCTTAATACAGGCATTGACACTGCACAATTCACAAGCCAAACATCCAAAACACATATTGTACATTAACATCAGTCCCTGCCCTCAAGAAGCTTACAGTCTAAGGTCCCTGACTCACACGCATACATACACATACTACAGGATCCAAATACTCTACCAGCATGTCTTGGGAGGAAACAAGAGTAACTTGCAGAAACCCATGTAAGCACAGGGAGAACATGCAAACAAACAGATAGTGTCCTGTTTGAGATTTGAGCCGCAGATCTCAGTGCTGCAAGACCAAACCAATAAGTGCTAAGCAATAACCCAAACCATTTATATTAGAAAATGTTGACATAGTGTATAGCTGAACTCTAGGAAAAATATCAATAAAGCAGTTATGTATTTATTATTACAGGTACTTATATAGCACCATCAATTTACACAGTACTTTACATATTCAGTATCTCACAGTATATCACAGTCCACCCCTCACATTTTTGTAAATATTTTATTCTATCTTTTCATATGACAACACTGAAGAAATGACACTTTGCTACAATGTAAAGTAGTGAGTGTACAGCTTGTATAACAGGGTAAATTTGCTGTCCCCTCAAAATAACTCAACACACAGCCATTAATGTCTAAACTGCTGGCAACAAAAGTGCCTAATCAATCCTAACCCTCAAGGAGCATACAATCTAAGGTCCCTAACTGACATTCATACATACACATATTAGGACCAATTAGGCAAGATCCAATTAACCTGCCAACATGTCTATGGAGTGTGAGAGGAAACTGAAAGGCCCGGAGGAAACCCACACAGGCACAGAGAGAACATGCAAATTCCAGGCAGGTAGCGCCCTGGTTGGGATTCGAACCAATGACCCTAGTGTTGCCAGGCAGCAGTGCTAACCATTTAGCCACTGTGCTGCCAATTTAGAAAATCATTAATGCATTTTAAATGTAACTATTGTACCTTTCTATTAAACCAGGCTCTGGTCAGAAAGCAAGATGGTCACCTTGACTCCAGTGTAACCACATTGGCAAATCAATCACATAGCTCCCAATTGTCCCTCTTTTGCACCCAAATTCCTCTGCTCCTCTTTCCTTCTTAGTTGTCTCTTATTTTGGTATGATGACCTATGTGTAGCAATGTCGGCGAAAGCTTCCCCATAGTAAAGATGAAGGTGCATAAATATGCGCATGCGCAGATCAGCAACTGGCCGCGCAGATGTGCATGCTCGTGGGCATAGACGCGAGCAGGTGTTGTGTGCTGGGACCAAGAAGCAGCCTAGATCTAGGAGCTTTCTTGCCTTCCTCACTGAGTGGTGTCTGGAGAAAGCTGGAAGGAGGCAGCTGTCCTAAGGACTTGTGAATAAAAACTCTGAAAGTGATCCCTGTGACTGTATAGTGTTCTGAAGATACCAAAAGTTTAACATTGGCACAAGGTAACCAGATTCCAGCGTGATTTGCCTTGCCCCTCCATGGTCTCCAGCTGTGAGAGAATAGACTGTTCAGTGTTCACATTTGCATAAGGAGAAGTCTGTCCTCTAACTGCTAAGAAGTCTTTCCTCTAATTTTGGCTCCCACTTCCAGCTGAAAAAAAAAAGATGCCAGGGTGATGACTAAGGTCAGCAAGTGGTTAACAGCAATGCTTTTTATACTCATGTACTTATGTGATCACGTGAAGCTCCAATCCCAAGTCTTTTCTTTTTTCTCTCTTTTCTGTCCTTGCGGGTGGCCATGTCACTCTGTGCTTGATGTGGACACTTCTTATTGGCAGTCCTGCAGGGGTCTTCTCAGGAACCAGAAGAGGAATTTCAGAAAGGGGTATCGACATGATGGGCCATTCGACCAGACTACATCAGCACATCTACTGTGCTGGATTATCAGTTCCCGTCTCCTAGAAATTATATTTTTAAAAATGAAATCAGCAGCAGCACAAGGAGCCAGTCAGTTGTACTGTAGTACACATGTTCTAAAAAGGAAAACGCTGATAGAAGGACAAAGCAGAGTGACAGAGAAACGAGTTCATCAGTCTGCTGCTTCTCTCTCACTCTCCAATCACAGGCTAGGGGAGGGATATTGGCAATATACTATATGTTCTTTACATTGGCAGAGTGACTTTTTCTTTAAATGGATTCACACAAGGCAAGAAACAAAAGCCAAGTACTTTCAGGAATGCTTTAAAGGCTGTAATGTTACCATCAGCAACACTTTATTACATCTATAGGAATATCTTCTTTACCCCTTTGCTTAAACTCCAGCCAGGGGCGGACTGACAACTCATGGGGTCCCCGGGCAATAGGGGATCATGGGGCCCCTGTGTTCTTGCCCAAACTCAAAAAAACCTATGAAAAAGGTACCAGGGGCATCTCATGGGGCCCCCTACTGACCCCGTGCCCTCGGGCAGTGCCTGAGTTTTCAAATGGTCAGTCCGCCCCTGACTCCAGCTCACATCCCATGTCAACTGTAGCATGATCCTTAGAATGGCTACGACCTGTTACTCCTTGCCTTGAGCGAACAGTGCCAAATGTATGGTACTTCTGAACCAACTCCATTCCCTGGGGAAAAGGGAATGATTGGCCTGGTTTGCAGAGAGACATTGGGAAAAGTTGGAAAATCTCCCTGTGTGACTGGAACTTAAAAACTGCTCAGTTGTCACCATTTGATTGTTGAAAGCAATATCTGTAATTTACTTGGCAGACCTGATGTATTGATAATCTCTTTCTCTTTTGCTCTATGTGCTGTCGTTTTCAGTGGTTCCAGCAAAGTCTTGTACACTTGATCTGCTATCCTCACTCTCTCTCTCTGAGCCCAAAGTGTAGGGCCCTATCTCTGGTGCTTTCCCCAGGGTTTCCAAAAATCTCCACACCAGCAAAAGTAGAGAATTGTCCATTTCTGGAAACTATCCATTTTAACATTGTAGCCTGTGGCCATATTGGACTACTATACACATAGATGGTGCTAGAAATACCATGAATTCCTTTTAATGCATTACACACAGGTACTATGACCAAAATGGTGAAACTAAAGAACCATATTTTTAAGTTTGCTCTTCTCTGACAAATGTATGCGTATATAGTTTGGCTTTTACTCCATTACAAAGACTACTCAAGGTCATTGCCCTGTAAGCAGATTGTGCCTGATTTACAAAACCTTAATCTATTAAACGGAATGGTCTCCATGTAATCAGTCTCTGCTGCACAGAGAATATCCCTGGTGAGGTATGTATACTAATGAGGTATTTATCAGTGTCAGACAGAGATATCCTTAAGTCGTTGCCATCTGAACCCGCAGTCTGATTAAACAATTAAACAGGCAATGTCTGGTGGAGAAGCAATACTCCTTAATGCTTCATTATCTATTGCAGTTAGCAGGGCCTTCATCTGACGCTTTTCTAACTTTTCACATTTTTTTTCCCTTTTTTCTTTAAACCCCCAGAGAAGATGGATGTCTTCCACTCTAAGCTTTCTTCTTTCAAGGAGTGGATAGGCATATTTGTATTGTGTGAATAGGCAGACTGAGTCTCTTGTAATGCTCACCCTTAAAGTAAACCTATCACGTTCCTAAAAACATATAAGCCAGCTATAGCGCATAATTCACATTTATGTGAATTGGATGCATTTTGAACCGCATCTGACTTGCATGACATGTGAACCAAACCAGCTTTCTATGGAGCCGGTTCACATATGTGCGGGCCGGCTGCTGCGAGATTTTAAAGTCAGGTACAATTTTCAGTCCAGTTCGGGTGCGATTTCCAGTGTATACACTTAAAAAAATTTGTACCTAAATTGCACCTGAACTGCTAAACGAAATCGCACTGGACTCTTTTTACAAATTGCACTGAAACTGGCCCTGCACATATGTGAACCCGGTCTAAGTGCAGACATTATAGTCCATAAGCTTGCCATAAATGGATCAAAATCTAGCCAGTGCAGCAGGGACTATGAATATTGATCCATGTATGTGCCCTCTAATTGTACACAAGTCCTTTTCTTGATTGACTTGTGTACTATCAGCCTGTTGTTTTTTTACCAAATGATTAGTACTGCTGGCTATAGCTGGCAACACTATTCATTGCTCCCTTCTGCCAGAACACAATAGCACTGCAGGAGGGATTCCCCCATAAACACTGACCACCAGTTGTGGAAGGAAAGACAATTCCTTAATCTATGTCTGCTTTAAAGTACACCCTGGGATGATGTGGAGTTCCTGATTTTGCATTCTAGAATGTTTACTGGCCTTGATTTATGTCAAAGTCAACCCTAGGCTACATCCCCTCAGCCATAGGCAACATCCAATACAAGATCCTCCACTCGCCATTTAGATTGGCACTTAGTGCTGATTTGGACAGGCATTGAGCCAAGTATATAGCTGTTTAATGTGATAGGTGGACTTTATTTTAAACTGCACTTAGTCTTTAGATGGTGGTTGGGTGTTTAAGTGAGATCCAGCTGCCAAAAGATGTTTCAATAGACATACACCTTGGGTAACCTGAAGTTGCATATTTATGCATGGAGAAGAGGGCCGGTAAAGCATTTGAGCATTAGCAGGTTAAAAAAATGCAACCCAGCCACTGGAATGATCCCCTAAGAACAGTCAGCCGTAGAATTTCTAGAGCAGCCTTTTTCAACCAGGGTACCCAGCACCCTGGGATGCCTTCAGGATTCTTCATGTGTGCCTTGGCAACATGCCTTAAAATTTTATACAAGCCAGCAGGTGGATCAAACCTGCCTTTTAGTTACACAAAGCCACTAGTTTTCATTGTGCAACATTACAAATTTCTAGCCGCCAACAACATAATAAACCAATGAGGTCATCAGTTGATAAGGAGGACGTTGGGCACCTTTACAGCATCCTTGCTTGCCCTTTGCCTGCCCCTCTATCTCAGCACTGGGGTCACATTAGATGAATGAGGGAGATAAACTGAGGGATAAGAGAAACCATGGAATATTAGTCAGTACCAGTGTGCAAAGGTGTATTTGCTTTGAAAGAATAAATCACCTCTGATGTTGGGTGTCCTACATGTGTGGATGTTGTTGTGTTCTCTAAAACTATTAGATTAGTATTTTACATATTGTAATGGGTGCCTCAAGGTTGTGCAGAATTTTAAAGGATGCCTCAAGATTGTGCAGAATTTTAAAGAGTGCCTTGACTGAAAAAAGGTTGAGAGACACTGGTCTAGAGAGGTCAGCGAGTACCCCAACATACACGTCAGAGAGTACTCAGACACATATAATTGTTTCCTACAATGAAATCTGTGGATTTTCACATACTCAGAAAATGTAGTCATGGTATCTGTAGACAGTGCTTTGACCTGCAGGGCTCTCATGACTTCCATTGGTGGGTACCAAAGTCCAAAATATCCTGGCAAGGTAAGTGGTTTTGTGACATAAAATTACACTAGGAATCCTAGAGAACCCCCCTGCTTCAACATATGAAGGTGTATCTCCATACCTCTGAGACAAAGTAATGTTACAACCTAAAGACACTTACCCTGCATTTTCACCTGCTTTGATTACAGGCCATTTAGAAAATATTTATAATTCTACTGATTTAGCTAGCAAGGTAGCCAGGTGCTTTGCATTGTTCTTTAATTCTGTACTTACATGAGATATACTTGCCATAGACAATCAGATATCTCATTAAGAAAGACAAGTGGTGAGACATTTGCCCATTCTCTATGGCAGTGTTGCTTCACTAGAAATACTCATTCAATGCTCTCCATAGAAAAGAGAAGAATTGGTTCTTACTCTCAGAGACATTTTTCAATCCTGTGTGTGCTAATAAACCATTGAAATAATTGGAAGGCCTATTGGCCTTTGTAATAAACCCCTGCATGGTCCTATTGTTGCAGGCCATGCTTGAATCATGCACAGTGCTTGCAAAGCTCAGCACACGTATAAGCACCTTACATCTGCTGTAAATGTAGTTGAGTTGAATTATGAAGATAATCCATTTACTGAGGATCTTTCTCTGTCAGTGTCTCTGACATACACAGCTGTCATCCTTGTGTCATTCTTCAGGATTCCATATGATATATTTCTCCTTTCAGTTCCAGAAAAGCAGATTAGAGTCAGTTAGAGTAGTTAAAGTAGAAATACACACATCCATAGATATACAGTATTTTGTGCTGACAAATTGTGCTGCCATCTAAGGCTGCAAATGATAAATAAAATAATCTAGATTATGCTCAACCACCAAGTCATATATTGATCAGGACCTAGAATGACAAGGATAAATAAAAAGACTACAGGATTTTATGCTGACCTAAACGTCTGTTGAGATTACCAACCATTTTGCTGTCTCATTGTGCAGTTTTGGTTTACCTATTGATCGGTGAGTAGCAGGCAGCTCTTCCAGTTTAAGAATAAGTAAAGCTAACCTGTCTCTGCTATAGGATATAACGGGGCTGATTTACAAGATATAATGAAGCCATAAAACCTCAGTAAATGTTAAGATGTTGCTCCCAAAATATATATAGGTGTTGGACAAAAATACGGGAACACTACATAATTTTCAGGTGTGAAAGTGACGACATGTTTTGCATTGAAAGCAGAAGTGATGCAACATTCTTTTGCTTCTGCTGTGTGATGAGCAGGGCTTTTTTTTCAACGGGAACATGGGGGGAATGCAGTTCCGGCACCTCTAGCACTGAATGCATGTAATGGCAAGGGGTTTCTGGGGTGTGCTGGAGGGTCTATCAATACTGGCCGCCGGGGATCTGTTTTCACTGGTGGGGAATCTATTGTCACTGGGGGGAGTCTACTTTTTTTGAGGGGGGGTCTATTTTTTATGGCTGCTAGAGGATCTTTTGATGCTGGGAGATCTATTGTTGCTGGTGGATTCTATTGTTGCTTGGGTTGATCTGTTGTTGCTTGCGGTATATTTTATTGAATGGGATCTATTGTAGTGGGGGTATTTTGTTGAAAGGGATCTATTGTTGCTGTTGGAGGTCTATTTTACGGGAATTGGGTTTTTGTTGCTGGGGATCTATTGCTGCTGGGGGGTGGGTGTACTTTGTTGCTGGGGATCTATTGTTGCTGGGAGAACGGGGGTTATTGCTGGGGATCTGTTGTTGTTGGGGACACTGTGTATTTGTTGTGGTGAATCCATTGTTGTGGGGTGATATATTGTTGCTGTGTGAAGGGGTATTTTGTTGTGGGGGATCTGTTGTTGCTGTGGGATCTTTTGTTACTGAGGGCCTATTGTTCCTGGCTACAGGGGATCTATTTAATTGCTTTTCTTGTTATCCGTAACAAATTCCATTGAGTCGGTGCTTGGAGTGGGGTAGGGGGCAGAGACAAGGGTTGACTTGAAAGGAAGGGGGAGTAACTGCACCTATTTTCTGATAAAAAAAAAAAAAAGCCCTGATGAGACACCTAGCTAACAGGTGGAAAGCCCCACTTTCGTCATTCACTGTGTGCGCTGCTAGTAATACTTCATATCGGAGTCATGTCAGAGCTTACTGAGCTTCAAAGACAGCAAATTGTTGGTGTCCGCTTAGCTGGTGCCCCTGTGACCGAAGTTGCCAATTTATTTGCTGTGCCGCTAGGTACAGTATCAAAGGTTATGGCAGCATATACAATTTTCTTATATCATCTGATAAGCATAAGTGCGGTCGATATGGTCAGCTGACCGAAAGAGACAAAAGAACATTGCACAGGATTGTGATCTGGAATAAGAAAACAATTGCTACAAAAGTGACTGCAGAGCTCAATTTCAGTCTTCACGAGACTCAGTCTTCACAGGACTGAGATTGAGCTGTGCAGTCACTTTTGCAGAAGTTTTCCTATTCCAGGTCACAATCCTACGCAATGTTTTTTGTCTCTTTTGGTCAGTTGGCCATATCGACTACGCTTATGTTTATTGTTGGGGATGCAACAGCATGTACTATATACAGTATTGTGTGTTAATATCACTTGACCAGTAGATGGCACTGTACACTAAGGTTACCAGTTGTGCATATCTGTAAAACCTGTTGGTTCTCTCTCTTCTCTCTCTTTATAACCAAGATGTCTGCTGTTACAGTTTGCTGAAATGTTTTGTATGTTTGCAACGTAAGCCACACAAGTAAACCAAGTTCTGCCTCATCACAAGCTACTAGTGTCTTCTCTAACACATAACCAACAGGTTATGGGCCCAGCTCCAGACACTGGAAAAAGGAAAACTACAAGCAAGTAAGTGCTGCATTTACAATCCTACCAAATCCTGTGTGAGGAAACAAGAGCTGTATCCATGTCACTGAAAGATGGCAAGTGCTTCAGATATGAAGTTTACAATAGCAAAGCTCAACAATACCAACTACCAGCTATGGAAGTTTAAGCTTGAAATGCTGTTATCCAAAGATGACTTGTGGCAGGTACTAGATACACACAGACCCAATGACAACCCAGAAGAATGGGACGGAAAAAACAGGCAAGCAAAAGCAGTCATAAGCCTGTTAGTGGAGGACGATCAACTCATTCATATAAGGAAAGTAAACACAGCTAAAGGTATGTGGACTGCAGTACAAAAACTGCATGAACGTGCAAACCTAAACAGTAAACTATATCTGCTACGCAAACTGTATAAGATGAGGCTGGAAAAAGGGCAGGAAATGTGTGATCATGTAAATGCTATGCTAGAAATTGTGGACCAGCTGGGTGCAATAGGTGAAGAAATGAAAGACAATGATGTAGTAGCACTACTGCTATGCAGCCTTCCAGAATCATACAGTGCCCTTATAAATGCTCTAGAAACTAGACCGGAAACTGATGAATACAGCAGAAGAAAGGAAAATTTGCATAGTGAAGAGAACGAGAGACCAGAAGCAGCTCTGAAGGTGCATAAAGGCGTAAGACAAAGCAATGAAACCAGGGTATGTTTTCGCTGCAAAAAGGCCGGTCACCTGAAAAAGAACTGTTCAATCTCGAAAACTGAGCAGCGAAAGCGGGAGCTACCCACAAGAGAAAGAGCTAAAGCAGTCATGAAAGAAAATGAAAGTGCATCATGGAGTGGTACTTTTAAAGTGACTCAGAATAGTACCTCACACGGATGGTACATTGATTCAGGGGCAACAAGTCACATGACAAGCGACAAGACATTCTTCACAGAAATTGATTTTAGTGTAAAAGAAAAGTCTTCCTAGCAAATGGGAAAAGTATTACAGCGGAAGGTAATGGTCAGGGATTTCTGAACTGCAAAACACCATCAGGGGGCAAGCAGAGCACCCTTGTAAAGAATGTTCTATATATTCCAAGCCTAGAATGAAGCCTCCTATAAGTTAAAACCCTTGCAAGCAATGGACTCACTGTCCAACTCACAGGTAACGAATGCACAATTCAAAATGGAAAGCAAATGCTAGCAAGGAGGAAGGTTAAATGAACATTTGTACAAAATCGTCACTG